GGGCGAAGGGAGGGACGCAGGAAGGGAGGAAAAAGGGGAGACAGGCAGCTTTATAGACAGACAAGAGGAATAAGCAACTCTGTGACATGTAAAACAAATAGGATTACGACAGCCCATATGAAAAGAAAATCGATGATGTTATTGTTTTTATTTCCATTCCAAAAAAATACTTACATATTGCAGTCCTAAAAACAACTCAAGGGTTAATTCAACTGAATTGGGAGAGGGTTTGACCTTTGACCGGCTTGTGTTGGGGGGGGGTCTATGTACACAAAAGTAGCCTGTTATATATGAATTGTGAGCTTTTCAATTTCCCAAAGTAAACCTGCTTAATAGAATCAGCAGGTTAAATCTGGTAAGAACTCTAAGACAGAAATTAAAGGTTAAATAAAACGCTGAGGTTTGTAACCTTTGAAATATCATTACAGTTTTCTTTGTTATTTTAGTTTTGTACCAGATAAAATCATTGCATTCTTTCTGTTTTGGGAAGTTTAACTATCTGAAAAAAAAGAAATAGCAGCTCATTTTTCCATGCATTTTTATTTAAATAGTTAATTTGGTTTAAACAAGAGAGTCACATGCTGACTATTTTTTCTCTTCACCTCAGACTAACTATTAACTATTTTGATTTTCTAAATACCAGAAAAAAGAACTGCTTTTTAATAGATAATAGATTTCTTCTAACTAATACATTTGCATATCCTGATACAGAGCCGTTAAACAATTTGGGAATGCCAAGGTTAAGTTGTCATAGCCTTGCAAGAGGCACATCTAGGGATGTATTTTTAAGGCAACACCTCAATAATTCTATTGTCTTCAGTGACAATATAGACAAATAAATAAGGACAAATAATGCAAGGGAATGTTGACTGATTAACATTTGATGCATCTCTGTTACCAGTTTGTGCCTGAAGATGCCATGTTTAGTGCTTCACACAATTATATTCTACTTATTTTTTTTCCTGGTTTCTGAGATTAACAATAAGTACAAATCGTCCATATAAAAAGGTTATAGACCATGTGCAGCTTTTAGCTGAACTTTTAAGAAATTGTTAAGACCCACAGTGAATTGAGTCTCTTACCAGCGTGGGCTGGAATGCAGGAAGAAACCATTACTCTAAAAGCAACATTAAAACACAGATACAGTATTAAAATGAGCCTGGGTGATAGACTTTAACCTTATGTTATACATCCTTTGGTCGGATCGTGCTAAAATGCATGTATTTGGTCACTATGAAGCTTTTAAAGCAAAGAAGAGAACCTTACAGCCTCATGATGTGAGGCTAATTTGCTGCAGCAGTGACCAGTGCACTACAAAAAATAGATATGTAAATAAAATAGCAAAACACTCACATATAATTTATTGTCTAATAGTGGGGGAATTCAGGGGTGTTAGCAGCAAACAGCTGGCAGATGGAAGCCAACAGGTGCACACAAGGCTAATATATATGAAAATTAAACATCAAAAGGTTTGAATAGACCGGACTGCAAATGGAAAACAGCAGCTCAGTAAATAAACAGCATGAAATGTAGTAGTCATGCCAAAAACATGGAAAGGTTTAGATTATAAGACAAGAGCAGCATGTTGGAGAAAAAATGTAAAAGAAAATGGAAATATCAGCAAGTATGTTAAAAACATGTATATAGCACATAAAAAATGCAAATGACTGAATTAAGATATCATCCATCCATTTTCCATCACATTTTATCCCAGCCTATCTGTGCCTATCTCCAGCTGTCTATGGGTGAGAGGGTTAAAAATTGTCTTTAAAATCCATTAATCTCTGTCCATAACTGGGCATTAGGGAATGTGACTTACTCAGTTATCACAGTTTATATTTCAGGGCCTTTAGTTACTTATAAGAACTTGTTTAACAACATGTTGTTGGGTAATATACCTCTAAAAGCTACATACAATTCTCCAGTCTAAAAACATTTGAAGATAGATAAGAAGTATAGCTATTCATCTACATCTGTAGGTTTTTTAGTCTGTAAAGATTGAACTTCTGAGACTGAGAAAGAGCCACAGTGAGGATTGACAAGCCTACCACACCTATTCCAAGAGAGCACCAGTGATTCATCCAAGAGGTCACAAAATAACCCACAACATAAAGTGCAATGCATCAGTGACCATCAGCAAAAACTACAAATCCAAGCCTCACCTGGATAACCGACCTAATCACTCTATCTGTACGGGAGAGCCCAGCCACTCTGTGGAGGTAACTGATTTCAGCTGCTTGCATCCAGGATCTCTTTCTGTCGGTCATCCTTCAGATTTCATAACCATAGGTGAGGGTGGGACGAAAATGGAGAACTTGGCCTTTTTCGCTCAGCTCTCTTCAACACATCAGACTGGTGCAGTATGCGTATCATAGCAGCAGTCGTACCAATCACTATCGCTCCATTCTCCCCTTGTGCATAAACAGGACCTCAGGATACCTGAACTCCTCCACTTGAGGCAGGAGCTGTCCTCCCTTCTGAAGGGGAAAGGGCATCTTCTTTCATTTTCTGGGTTAAAGGAACAATTTTCTAACTAAAAATATTAAAAAGATAATATCCACAATACTTTTGTAAATACAGAGTGTTTATTGCTTTTAATTTTTTTTTATCACAGATATAAACATTATAAACCTGTACCGCAACACATTTATCACTTTATATGCAACCATCTCAGATTTATATTATTCATTTTTTGTGTATTCTTTAGTTAGAAGCAGCTGAGAGGATAAATGGTGTGTTGTGAATTGAAGTTATCACATTCACTACCATGCAAAACTAGTATATTTGTTTCTCCAAGCTACCCATTTGAATTTTCTTCGCAGGGGTTTGATAAAAAACAAAAAAATTATTTGTACTTTCTTCTTTTTGCACATCGAATTGATGTGTTGTTTTTTTTTTATAAAATATATTTTACAGTAAAAGTAGAGGCTGCAAAGCTTGCAAGAATTCACTAATAGGTCAGTAAATATCAAGTGTTTCTTTTTGTGTTAAAAATAGATGAGCAGAACTTCAAAGATAGAATTTTTTTTTTCTTTTCTAATTAAAAGAAAATTAACTTACTTTCACAAGAGCACCGAATTTGACAGGGTGCCTTTGTTTATTAAAGCAATAATAACATGTATAGCTAGGCTTTTTGATTTAGAGAAACAAGGCTTTTCATCCACAGAAATGTCAGCACAGATATCAAGATTAAATGAGGAAGCAATGTGTTAAAATGACCATACCTCTATAGCACTTTATCATGATCAAGAACCCCAAAGCGCTTCACTCTACAATCCGTCCTTCACCCACTGACACACACTCACTTGCTGATGGTAGGTAAGCTACACACCTGCAGAGGTGTCAAAAGTACACACATTTCTTACTTAAGTAGAAGTATAGCTATTGCAGTAAAAAAAAAAAAAGTAGAAGTATCAACTTGACCTCTGTACTTCTGTACTAAAATAAAAGTAAAAAAGTATGTGCTCCAAAAACTACTTAAAGTAAAAAAGTATAAAGTAACCTTTTTAAAAAAAACAGCCAGATGCGACTATATGAATTTAAAGCTCAATTTTTTGACGATTTCGAACAATCCTTTGAGAAAGGGCCAAGGAGGAGGGAGGTCTTATTGGTCTCCATCTCCCGATACGCTCTCGCCTGTGTCCGACCTTTCAGACATTTCAACATCTTTCTCTGAATCCGACATTAAAGCATGGCATAGACAGTTCACGTTTACAGTTTGAAGAACACCTGCTTGCTTCTAATGATTTCCATTAGCTAACCAATGAGTGTTTGAGTTATATGATTCCTGCAATTACACTAGTTTTCACTAGCTGTGGATGGCGCCAATGATCTGCATTGGTTGGAGCATATGACGTGAAATAAATATTTATAAACATTAAACCAAAGCCAAGAGTAACGAATAACGTTTGTTTTAAAAATGTAAGGAATAGAAAGTACAGATACTTGTGTGAAAATGTAATAAGTAGAAGTCAGAAGTAGAAAAAAAAAAGTAATGGAGTAAAGTATAGATACCTAAAAAGTGTACTTCAGTACAGGTGATACTTGACACCTCTGCACACCTGAACTCAACCCATTGGTTTCAGGACCAACCCTTACCTCCTGAGCCACATTGCATAATCTCCTCATTTTTCCTGAAAACACTTGTTTGTTGCAAAACATAATCTTCATCCCCCATTTTTTTGTAATATCTGCACCCTGTCAGATTGAGTACTCTTGTGAAATAACGGAGCATATCTGTCTGGAAAAAAATATATATAAAATAAACTTTTCAGGTTTAAAGTCATTTCATTTTGTTTTAATTGAAGCAGAAAAAACTCAAACTAATTTAGAAATTTTGCTTCTTTTTAACACAGAAATGAGACGGCCTGTGTCTCAATTTTAACTGTTGTGTCTTAAAACAATGTTTTTTATTGTTTTATATCCGTTTCTAGCAGGAAAATCCTACCGTCCAAAAGATAAACTCACCCTATTGGCTCAGGTGTGTTTCCCTGGGCGGGATAAAGGTTCTGATTGGGTGTCACGTTAGCCGCCACTCAGGTAGCCAGTTTCTAACAAACTGATCCTGGCAGCAGGTAATCGTGGACAAACCCACAGGCGTAAAGCGGATTTGACTTTTTCGGAAAAGAGAACTTTTTTTTTTCAGACCAGAGATGTACATTTTTATACTGTTTTTCTTTTCTGGAGTTTCATCTGTTTCCGGCACGGAAGATTAAATATAACGTTTTACTAATTATTAAAGTAATTAACTTTAAACGGTACAAAGGGAGTTTAACTTTTTTTCCCCCAGCGAATTGCTTTAAAATGGCGAGGAAAATGCTGGTTGCCTTTATTTTCTGGTGCGTAACAGGTGAGTATCGAGAGTATGTCCCCCCCTCCCCTGTCTGTTTCTTTGTCTGCTTCATAAACACATTGTGTACTTTCGACTTCTTATAAGTCTTTTATGGTTAGCGGTGGTTAAACGTGTTCCCGCCTTGTTCTTGAGATTTCAATGCGCATTTTTTAAGGGTCGTGGAGTTCCTACGCCCAGCAATGTGGCCGACCACCGCTGAGGGAGGACAGGATTGTAGGAGGGGTGGACGCCTCGAGTGGATCTTGGCCATGGCAGGTGGAAATTCAGGTGATCTGCAGTTCCACAGAGATGTTTTTACTCTCATCCTCTGAGTGTCCAGCGGTGCCTGTGGTTATGCTTTATGCGTGGTTTAGTCTGGGTTGTGTTCTAAAGCTGACCTGCTGAGAGAGGGATTTGTCTATGATGCAGATGTGACTCACTGTTTTTTTTTTATTTTTTTTTTTACTCTGCCTCCAGGAATCTAACCGACATATCTGTGGAGGCTCCATAATCACAAAGGACTGGGTCCTATCAGCTGCACATTGCTTCCCCAAGTAAGAAAGAAACTGCTGATGCCTTCATGTGATATTGTAATTTACAAGTGCAAAGAATCATCATTACTATACCCCATGAAGGCAGCATCCTGCTTAGGCTCTTTCTAAAAGATGGCCTTACCATCCAGTCCAGCGCTTGTCTAAATGGTTATTTCCAGAGGTGTCAAGTAACAAAGTACAAATACTTTGTTAGTGTACTTAAGTACAATTTTTAGGTATCCATACTTCATTACTTATGTTCTCTTCATACTTCTGATTTCTGCATTACATTTTCACACAAGTATCTCTACTTTCTATTCCTTACATTTTTAAAACAAACATTACTTGTTACTCTTGGCTTCGGTTTACATATTTATTTCCCATCATGTGCGCCATCCAATGCAGATCATTGGCGCCATCCACATCTAGTGAAAACTAGTGTAATTGGATGGGTCATATAACGCAAACACTCATTGGTTAGCTTATGGAAATCATCAGAAACAAGCAGGTGTTCTTCAAACTGCAAATTGTCTAAGCCATGCTACAATGTCGGATTCAGAAAAAGATGTTGAAATGTCTGAAAGGTTGGACACAGGAGAGAGCGTATCGGGAGATGAAGACCAGCAAGACCTCCCTCATCCTTGGCCCTATCTCAAAGAATTTTTTTTAAATAGTCGAAAAGGTTACTTTATACTTCTATGCTTTCAGTAGTTTTTGGAGCACATACTTTTTCACTTTTACTTGAGTAAAGAGGTCAAATTGATACTTCAACTTTTACCAGATTTTAAACTGCAGTATCTATACTTCTACTTAAGTAACAAATGTATGTACTTTTGACACCACTGGTTATTTCTATTCATTATATGTATCTGGGCTGTTATACATTAATTTAAAATGTAAAATACTTAAATTGCAGTGTAATTCTGTTATTTATTTAATCCCCATCCAATTTGAGAAACCAAAGTTTTAATTACAAATTGTGATTGGAGATGATTTAAGTGTGAAGCTGCATATATTTTTGCCTTGGTGGCAATAAAGTCAAAGCAAAACTATTCTACTTTCAGTGTCTAAAAAAGTGTTGCACAATATATGAATATACTGCAAAGGTAATAATATTGGTAAATGTCAGTTGGGCTTTTTTTTTTTCATTCTGGTGCTTCCGTACCTAATAGTTCAGCAGGAAAGAAAGAAGAGTAAGGTAACATGTTAACATCTATAACTGACATTGCCTCAACCATAATGATATTGACACTGCATGTTTTCCTGGTATTGCATCTTAAACATCCTTGTTCTTACAGTTTAAATATAATGCATTTAAACTGTAGCATGCCATGGAAATTAAGAGATGTTTTAAATCTGTTTGACTGGAAATATTTGACATGCTAAAAGTGTACGATAGGCCATTATACACAAAGCTGGCATTTTGTGTGCTTTATCAGAAAGAAGGTGGCAAATTATTTCCTCAGACATTCTGTAATGTCTGGTTTTTATTATTATTACAGAAAATTAGCTTTTTGTGGTGTGGGAGATGTTGTTTGAGTCAAAGAAAAATAGCTGTAAAAAAAAAACAGCTTGTGTTTTCTTACTCTGGAGTTCCAATATCTGCATTAATTGACTTTTGTTTTTTAAAGGAAATTTCAATATTACAAAAGTGGCACTAATAACTTAATGGAAGTTCTGTTTTTTTTTTTAAAGTGTAACAATTATGCCTTGCTAGCCCTTTGTTTTTCTAGTTTAACGTATAAAAAAATCGTATCCTCTTACAGTCCATCCGAGGTCTCCTCCTACACTCTATACGTTGGACGGCACCAGCTGAATGGGGTGAACAAGCACGAGTCTTTCCATCGTGTGAGCCGCATAGTAATTCAATCTGGTTATCAAGACCCCAATAACGGTAAAGATATAGCCCTGCTGCAGCTGTCCAGCCCAGTGGTCTGGTCCGACTACGTCCAACCTGTGTGTTTGCCTTCGTCCGGCTCATTGTTTCCATCTGGCATGAGTTGCTACGTCACTGGCTGGGGAAATATCCGGGAAGATGGTAAAGCTCACTAATTTCTTTTTCTCACATTACAGGGACATTTCTCAGTAGTAGACTATTCTGAAGAGATTAATTTCAGTGTCTATTACATACATAGCAATGTCTTTCAAGCTTCAACGTTAAACCTAAAAGATAGTCCTTCATGGTTTCCAGTCCCTTATTTCCTGGAATTCTTGTTGAATTTCTTCAGCTTGGCAAATTAAGATATTTAAAACTAAGAGGAATATAAAAAGGAAACATGAGAATAGGACATCTTAAATAGTCATTAAAATATCTGTAAATTGGTTGTATCATCAAAATTAAGGAGGAAGGAAATAGAACAAGGGAAGTGTTTTACTTGTTTACGGGAGTATAAGACTCTAAAACATGCCTTTAGCTGACATAGCAACCCACTTAGAAAAGTTACTATACCAAAATTATGAAAAAAATAAATTTTTTTCCTTTCAATATGCTCTATCCAGGACTATAAGTCGAGAAGTTTTTGTTTTACCTCGTTTAATTCTGTATAAAATCTTCTTTTAGGAACCTTTCGCAATCCAATTATTAGTCGATTAATAGAAAAAATAATCGAAAGATTTATCGATTATCAAATAATCATTAGTTGCAGCCCTAGTTATGAGTAACTTTCTTATTTATGAAACTTGTATCAATAGAATTCGGATCAAAAGTACCAAGTTAGGCCCCCATCTGATTATCAGAACACTGGCCAAACAGTTCTCAGTCTCTGTTGTTTTTTTTATGCAAATGTCCCTTGAAGCCTTGCAGAACAATAGAGTATACATGAAACCTTTATTTATAAAGCACTTTTTAATAACAACGGCCATCCAAGTGCCATACATAAAACTGAAAATAAAAGTAAAATGTGTACAGATGAAATGAAAAAATAATAAACAAAATGGCTTACTGTTGTAAGCATTTTCTCTTGCTGTTATAAGAGCCTATGTTGACTGTAAGCAATTCTGTAATGAGACTAAATTATCTCTGAACTAACTAAAAGCAACAGTTGCTGTTCAAGCAAATATTTCACAATACAAACTAAAAGGTGGAAACAGAAACCTAGCTTATAATTATCATTAGAAAGTAAAAAAAATTTAGACAATAGATTCCTAATGTTTTCACAGTGGCTATTTGAATGGGCAACAAAGAGGCTGGCCTTCTACAAACGGAACAAGCTGCAGGTCTAGCGATGGCTAGATCTTTAGCATTTGCAAAACTTTGGCACACAGGCTAACAGAGACGGCTCATGTTTTTGGACATATTGTATACAGTCAAAAACTGAATGAGCTACTCTGTGAGCTGCTTGAAAGAAAAACTGCAAATCTTTCAGCATCCAGTTCAGAAGTCTGTCCTTACTCCTCCCTTTCAGCTCCAGAAATGAAGAAAAATCAAAAATGATTTATAGATTTATCTATAGCTTATAGCTTTTTCCCTGCCTAGACTAAACCTCTGTGAACAAATTTGGAGTTTGTATTTTTTAAGAAGGTGAATCTGTGTTTTCAAAATGATTCTTCTGTAAATAGCTGCTTTGATTTGAAAAAACAAACAAACAGTTTTTGGCTTAAGTCGGGCTTACACTGTGTTTTATTAAATTTTTTTTTGTGTTTTTCGGTCTGACTTTCTGATTGTGCGTCATGTAATGTACAGGAGGTAATGAGGGGCGATCAGCCTCTCACAACCATCTCCCGATCAGGAATCCTGAGGTCGGGAGAAAATCAAACATGTTTGATTTTCAGTCGACCGTTGTGGGCAAATCGCTCAGTGTGCAAACAAGGACTCTTCTACTACCTCTCAGATGAAAACACAGAAGCATGACAGGGATGTAGGTGAAATGGAGTTTTTTCTGCAAAATTCAAAGACCATAGGAGCCACATTTGCTCAGCCATGTCTTTGTCCAAATACGTCCCCACCTTTTCTTTTTAGGGCTTTCAGCACAAACTTACAAACCCTGTGGTTTCATCCTACAGTGTGAGCTGCCACTGCTTGCAACAACTGCAAAAATCGTACAGTGTATGCCCGGCTTTAGATAATTTTTTTCAGGAGCTCAGGCTGCTAGTTTCCTGCTGACATGTATTCAGAAATTACACTCAAAGCAGGATGAACACTAAAACTTTTCTGTAGATCAACACAGTCTTTGTAGCTGCTTCGAGCAAAGCAAAAGCTGCTGGAAAAATAGGTGGAAGAAAAACATGTGGTTGGAAAAAAAACAATAATGGCAAAAGCTTTGAATGGATTTAAGCAGAAATGTACTTCTGCTTAAACAAGGCATGTACTGCATCTCTAGTCAGATCCTTAAGGGCCAGCTAATCACAATCAACTATCAACTCTGCAAAAAGGAAGCTCTTAGAGGTTGAAGTTAGTGGAGAGGTTACATTTCTTATTGTTTCTGTTCCAGTTTGAAGTTTTGTTTTGTGGAGATATTTTACCTTCTGGTGTTGATTCATTGGGCAGTATGAGGTTAGCAGTCATGTACCAGGACATTTTGGAGCTCTTCATCTTTATGCTATATTATGTTGATGCTTTTTCACTTTTCAGGAGTACTTAGCACCTCTCTACATGATGTAAGGTACCAATAACTTTAGTAACCAGTGTAACATTATGTTTGATTAGTCAGAAAACTACCCTTGCCTTAACCCAGTAGAAATGACTACAGAATACTGCTTAGGTTAAAATTAGGCCTTTGATCAAACAATGCAGTCGAGCTGAAGTTGGCTTTGAAAGCAAACTGGTTCTTTTCATGCATTACTGATGTAGTTTTTTCCAACACTATAACAAATAATCCTTTGAGTTTTCATTAGCTGTACACCTTATACTAAACGATTACCTTCTATAAAATAAGCCAGTTTGAAATGTATTGCTGTGTAAAAAGAATTGCAGTTTTACCTCTGTTGGAAACGCATAAATAATTAGTCTGTTTCCTTTCCAGTCCCTCTGCCAGGAGTTGGGACTCTTCAGGAAGTACAGGTACTGATCATCTCCCAAAGCTCCTGTCAGGCGATGTATGATACAGACCCGATGGAGAATGTGGACATTCTCAGTGACATGATCTGTGCAGGATACCCAGAGGGTGGCAAAGACTCCTGCCAGGTACTGTTGGAGCAGCTGTTTGTTTTTTATTAAAGTTACAGGAATAAAAATCCCTTGTAAGATCTTTTCACAGTGCATCGATACCTGAGGTTTAATCATAATGACCCATCTCCTCAGGGTGACTCAGGAGGGCCCCTGGTCTGCCAGATGGTAAATGGGACCTGGGTGCAAGCTGGGGTGGTGAGTTTTGGACTCGGCTGTGCTAAACGGAACAGGCCAGGCGTGTATACCAGGCTGACCAGCTACACGAACTTCATCCGCTCCACAGTACCAGAGGTCTCACTGTACGGAGGAGCTCACCGCAGTTTGTCTGGGTGGCTAGTTGTGTTCACTAGCAGCCTGTCCATTCTCATGATGCTTATGCTAACTTGGATATAAACACTTATTTTGCAAGAGGTGGAATAAAGCAGTTAAATTGATAAATAGCCTTAATCAAAATTGAAATTTGTATCCTGAATGCATATAAAGCCATATGAAACTTTTTAACCTGAATTGTTTTTTCTTAATAGCCTCAAATACATGTTTAGGGTTTAAAAGTAGATTTCAGGATGAATCAAATCAGGATTATTAGAAATGTCAGTTTTTTACTATTTAACGTTGACACATCTATTCATTTCAATTTTTTTAATGCAACATCAGAATCAGCAGTAATTGTATCTTGCAAGGTGAAAATAATTGAGATTCTTTATTGTGATTGTGACTCCTAAATTCACATGTAGCACTAATAGTAGCAGACAGGTAGTGCTTTAAAAAATCTTTATTAAAGAAAGTGCAGCATGATTTATGAAATGTTTTATGATCTGTATGGAATAAAAATCACTGTGACTTGATACATCTTGCTCATGTTGATTAAAACACAAACAAGTGTTGAGTCAGGCGTCGTGGGGGATGGTATCTGAGAGGATCATGGGCGAGCCGAGCTGCAGCTCCTGCTGCAGAGACTCGAGGTCAGCCGGAGTCATGCGGTGGACCTCGCTCCAATCAGATAGCAGGGAGGCAGAGAGAGGGGTTGAGTCGTAGCTGATAGAGAAAGGGGGGGAAAAATGCAGAGTCAATATTTAAAGGTTTCAAAAAGATCAGATGGCGTTTCCTCTGTATTTTTGTGAAAAAGGTAGAAACTTGGTATATTGATGCAATCCTCGCCGAATTCATGAACCCTTTAACAATTTAAGGCTTAGCATGAAATAAAAATTAGACACTGCTGATAAATGAATATTAGTTATGTTTGCACATAGTTCATCTAACTGGACTGTAATCTACTGAAGATATCGGACAAAAATATACATCTCATCATCTCCAGTGGCTTTTTGGATATTTGGTATGATGTGGTGGTTGCTGAAACCTGTATTGAAGCTCACCTGTCCCTGTCGCCGTGTTGCAGCTCTGTTATTAGAGACTGGTTGAAAAGGTCATCGAGATCGAAGCCCACGCCGTACCCAGCCCCACTGCCCTTGGGGGTGACTGAGAACACAGGAGGTAAAATGTCCTCTACCTGACAGAAGAAAGGAATAAAACATTGGGTCAGATGGATTAGGAACCCTTTATAAAAAAAAAAAAAAATTGATTTCAGTAGAACCAATGATTAGATTGCTAACCTGGGACTTTGAGAGCTGCAGTGTTACTGTGTGGATGTCGGGGGCAACAGATGACCCTTGTTGTCCCGTATCTGTAAATCCCAAACTAGGGTGTGGCTGAGAGGGAACCCCTAAAGTCCCACATAGATGGTTTATGCTTTGTGCAGAGGTTTTCTCACCCATAGAGGGGCAGAGCTTCTCTAAGAGTCCTGTACTCGCAGTGAACGAGTTGAGGCTATTCTGACCTCTAACGTCCACATTTCCATTTGCCTCTCTGATGGTTATTGAAGGAGCTTTGGACAAAAAATTCTCCAGGGGAAGAAGGTGTGTCTGAGATTTGGGGTCCGGCTGTGATTGACTCTGCTGTTGGAGCTGGGGCTGAAGGAAGCTGGACGGTTGCTGTGTTGTCCTTGTTTCCAGTTGCTGGTTGCTCCAGTTCCCCACACCATTGAATCCACCTTCCCCATTGCCCTCAGTGTGAGGTTGGAGTGTGTCGTTTTTTACATAGCCACCGGTGACTGTCATGTCCATCGCTCCCCTTGCAGCAACATCTACATCCCTCGGAGGCTTCTTCTGGCTTATGGAGAAAGGTAGAGCCAGCTGCTGGGAAGAGGGAGGCTGAAACATCCCCTGCTGGTTCGGCTTTACTTGAGAGACCAGCTGCTCTGGAGGAAGAATTTTCCCTGCCTCCAAGTTTATTTTATTGTTCTCAATGATTTTCTGGGAATTCTGGTTGAAATCCTTACTTTTCCCATCAGTAGCAGTCTGGGATTTCTCGCTGTGGCTGTCCATCATCTTTGTCCAGCGCTGCAAGAGGCTTTTGTCGTTGTCGCTCAGCAGGACCCCGCCCAGCGAGTCCCCCTGTTTTTTCTCTTTTCTTTCCTTTTCCTTCAGTTTTCTCTCCCTTTCTCGTGCTCTTTCTTGCCTCTTTCTCCTTTTTTCCTCTCTCTCTCGCTGGCGCTCCTGAGCTGTGACGGGCCTCCTCGACTCAGGAACTGAAGATACTGCAGAGGAAGGGCCTCCTCCTGTTCCGCCATCGATGCCCAGCGCCGAGGAACCTCCATCTGCAAAGAGCATTTATTTAGTCAAAAGAGGTTTAAAAGTCTGTATGTTACATTTAGGTATAAGAGTGCCCTCCAAATGTATTAAGTAACCTTAACTAATATCTTAACATACTACTTCCAGTGGATCTATCAGTAAAAATCAAAACACAGTTTTTGTTTTTAACAAAAAGTTGTATGAATACTTTTATACTTACCGCCCCTGGCTTTATTTCTTAGGGCTGATTTTAACAAAACTGCTTTTAGCGCATTTTTGGTATCTTCAGAAATGGCGCCTTCCTTTCTGGTTCCCTCTGCTGCACGTGGAGGCGGCCTTGCATTCTTAGACAGTGAGTGCGAAAGAGACTGAGACAGAGACTGGGCCTGTGCCACTGACAGAGACAGGGTAGGTTTGGTTGCTGGCAGAGGGGTCATGGTTTGTGCTTGTGGTTGATTAGTAGATGTAGGCTCCATGGGCTGACTAGGCATAGTAGCTATTCCCTCCTGTGCCTCACCATCTCTCATGACTTCTGATGGAGGGTCATGAGTGGACACCGGAGTGGTCAGATCTATCGTCTCTGGCTGACCGCTGTCGGAGTTGGCACTGGGCATGTCCACGTCGACTGGGGCACTTTCACTTTTACTGAGGAGAGGCAAATGATGGGCCACGTGAGGCCGGACGAGGTCAACCTGCTTTGTAAATGCTTGGTTCACATCTGCTGGTAAGTTTTGTTCCTGCTGGGATTTCACAACTCTCATTTGCTGCTGTTGAATCTGTTTCACTCCAAGGTGATGCGCCATCACGGCCAATGTTTGGTTGGTCAGATCAACAGTTGCTGGCTGGTTACTGCTTTGGGCTGCGGCTCCGCTGTTAGCCCTCGGCAAAGGCTTAAACTGCAGTCGTGGACGAGAGCTCAGTTTCTTTTTGTGAAAGTCTTGAATTTCCATCAAAATAGCCTCTTTAATTTGTTCTTTGTTTAATTGAAGCTTGTCAAACTCAAAGTCAAAAGCTGGCACGCAAGTTGGCTCGTCGTCTGGATCGTGGTACTTGGACAGATATGGATGCTCCAGTGCCTCTGTCACACTGATGCGTTCACGAGGATCAAACTGCAGCATGGCCTGTAAGAGGTCTAATGCTGAGGCTTCAGCTTGTGGGTACAGTTTGGATAAAGGCACAGGTGTCTGAGATGGGAGACGCTGAACATAGGAGCGAACGTTGTCAGCCCTGATGGCTCCGATCAAACCCTCAGGGGGAGTGCCTAACACGCTTAGAATGAGTCGCAGCTGTTGAACATAGTTCTTCCCAGGGAAAAGCTGCTTCCGACCCAACATCTCAGCAAAGATGCAGCCCACAGACCACATATCAATGGCCAAACTGTAGTGATTGAGTGACAGTAAAAGTTCAGGAGCGCGGTACCATCGGGTGGCTACGTACTCAGTCATAAAACAATAAGACTCCTCAGGATGGGAACTCAGACCCCTCGCCATTCCAAAGTCCCCAATTTTCAGTTCACAGTTTTCATTCACCAGCAGGTTTGAGGGTTTGAGGTCACGGTGGATGACATTGGCGGAGTGCACATACTTTAGGCCACGGAGAAGCTGGTAGAGAAAGTAGCGTGTGTGTTCAGGGGTTAGCGTCTGGGCAGAGTGAATGATCTGGTGCAGGTCACTCTCCATAAGGTCCAAAACAACATATCTGCAAACACAGAGAAAAAAAGTTTAAGATAAGTTAAGGTTGTGGATTTACACCACAATTTAATATTAGAAAGAAAAATGTATTGTATGTGAGAAAAAATACACTGTCTTAGTAAAGAAAGCTTACATTGTACGGTAATGATAAAAAAAAAAAAAAAAAAAAATGACTACGTACACAGACTTGAAGGCAGAGTGAGGAAGGTTCGGCTGCAGAATGTCTTTGATGGCGATAATGTTGTCATGCTTAAAGTGTTTTAGGATCTTGAGTTCTCTTAATGTTCGCTTGGCATTTGTCACAACTTCAAAAGCATTGGAGATCTTCTTTATTGCCACCTGCTGGCCTGTAGGAGGTAGATATAGAGAACAGAGGGGAGAGTATAAAAAATGCAACCCAACAAATCCTCACTTGTAAACATAGAAGGAAATCAAGCTTAGTACCGTTGTCCCTCCTTCTGGCAGATGAAACCACACCATACGCCCCTGTACCGATGGTTTCTATGACATCGTACTCCTCTCCGACGTCAAACTTTACATCCAGAGAGTGTGCTTTAAGTAGAGCCAAATTTTTAGCCGTTATGCTGGTGTCTGAATTGCTGCCCGTCACATCAGCACCCCTATGGTCCTGCTGGTTCGTTCTGTGTTTGTCCGTGGACATTTTCTCAGGGGAGGCCACCACTTTGGCACCGCCGCCCTCTTTAGTGGACATCTTGCTGTAAAAACAAAAAGTAGAAGGCCAATTAAGGGACATTGTTTGACACCGTCAGTTTCTTTTTGTCATACTTATTTTTAGCTGTATCATACAAATAAATGGTTAAAAACAATCATACATTGTAATTTCTGGATTTCTTTTTTTTTTTTTTTTAGATCAAGGTGGACATGCATCTACGATGACAATTTCAGACCCCCCCATGATTTCTAAGTGGGAGAACTTGCAAAATAGCAAGGTGTTTCCTAACTGTATTTTATGAAACATACAGGTTTTTACTTAGAAAAACGGAAGGGATTATATATGATGATTACTATATATATATATATATATATATATATATATATATATATATATATATATATATATATATATATATATTTTATTTTTAAGTGCTGAATTTAGACGAAACAAGATTCACAAAGTAAATCATTAAAACGGGAAACTGTCCGAATCAGTTATTAATAATGTTTATTGACACTTCTGGCAAAGTATAAAAGAAAAACCTTTTTTATTTTCATAGCCATACCATCATTTCATACTGAACTTTCAAGGGGGGAAATCCTTTCATTTTCAATTTTTTTCCATAAGCATGGAAAATTTAATAAATTATTGTTTTTACAAAATTTAGAGTCTCAGGATTATTAGCCACCC